TCTTTTCTTTTCTTTTCTTTTCTTTTCTTTTCTTTTCTTTTCTTTTCTTTTCTTTTCTTTTCTTTTCTTTTCTTTTCTTTTTTCTTTTCTTTCCTCTTTTCCTTTCTTTTCTTTTCTTTTTCTTTTTAATGGATCCAACTTGCCCTATTATCATCACCTATCACCTCTTTTCCTTATAGCCCTTTTCATCAGCAAAGTGCATGCCAAATAGAAAAGATCAGTGCCATTATTTGTATCACCCAGCAAAGAGGGCACCTGGGCAGGGACAGCAGGAGGATGCCACTGTGTAGACCATACACAATGTGCCTATAGCACAGCAGGTGGCCACTGCTGGGACACATCTGTGCCCTGCCTGTGTGAAGGCTGAGCCTTGTTTTGTAACCTCTAATTCACAGGGGTTTTGCTCAGTCAGATGAAAGGATAACCATGAAGTGACTCAGTGAGTGGCCACATGCTGCTGAATGGAAGACAAAAGCTGGGTGGGGCTAATAAAATTTTTATGTGTTTGATAAGGGAAAAGAAATCCACCTATGAGCCTGCTGGGGACTAGGCTGGGAAAGGTCACACTAGTCAGGAAAAATCCTTAGGTGATGGAACACAGCTGCTAATCTTCAGCAGTGGGCAAGAACCTGGGCTGGCTTGGGGAATCTGAACTGGTGGCTGCAAAGAGCTGGCAAAAAAAAGGATGTAATTAAAAGCTGTCACGCATTAAATTTGCTTTTGGCATGATGACCTGTCACCACCATAATGTGAGCTGTAAGAAATGCCACAGGATTTCATTTCAGCCACGGCAGCATCTGTTGCTGGAGAATACTGCAGTTCAAAGAGGAGTACATGTCCTCTTCGTTGTGGCTCCTTGGACAAGAGCAGTGGCAGCACTTAATGGCACTCTTGCATTGGCTTTGTACCACCTTAACTGGGGACAGACCTTTTCATAACAAAACCCCCACCCAGTTTGGCTGGGAAGCTTTGATCCAAAGGCTGATTTAAGTGGACTCACACTGGAGACACACCACTGCAGTGGAAACCCCCAGCGTGTTAGTGGATGCTGTCCCCAGTGTGGAGACGTGGCAGTGAAAACCACTGCACCTAGACTGTTCCTGGATTCCAGCACTCCTTGGATGCTAAAACGACCTACAGCAAGCATCTCAGATTATAGTAGCTGGAAGAATACTCTTATTTGTACGTGGTTCCAGTGTGACAGAGCTGCAAACATGACAAAATGTATTTTCCTCTTTTCTCCTCTCCCACATGCTGTGCTTAGCTACAGAATGGCTCAAGCTCTGGCTGGACTGACAGAGCAATGTCAACAGTAAAATCACCACATGCAGTTGCAAGAATTCAGTAAGAATCACAGCTGGGCTCCTAGGGAAGACAAAACCTTCCCCCTTGCAACTCAGGGCTTGATACAAGAACCCTGCTGATGTGCAGTGCTCCCCACTAGAAAGGAAATTTATTCTGCCCCAAGAACAAAGCACTGTAAACCCGCAGCCAGCACTAGAGAACTAGGAAAAAGGCACTTGAGAGCAGGTGTACAACACTCATCTCTCAAACACACTTAAGGACCTGAAATTTTATTCAAAATGTTTGCATTACACTTTCCAAACAACCACTCGCAATGTGCATCAGGCTGCTTTTCTGCCTGTTTTTGAGTATCTGGACTTCAAAACCCTTGCTTCTCATTAGCTGAGAAATGACAGAGAGCTTCCATGTCCCAGGCTGCGATCTTGCAGCACATCCAAACTCCAGCATGAGTTGGCCTGCACTTTTGAGAGGTGCTCCAGGCAACAAAATGAGTGGAAGAACTTTAACAGTAATTCAAGAGGAGCTTTAAAAATTTAATAATGCTTCAAGGAAGAAAACTGGCTGCTTTCATGAGATTCAGTCAGGTCAAATCAGCTAATTCATAACAGGAGGTAAACTCTGGGAGGCTAACACAGCAGGTTTGGAAAATCCACACAACTACACATTGCTTGAAGGGACAGGCAGGTCCCCTGCTCCCTGGGGAGCTCAGACCATAGGACCCAGCTGTGGACATGCAAATATGGAACATCTCTCTTCAGAAGCACTCTTGCAACAAGAGCAGCTCAGCAAGGGCCAGCTCTTGCTGAAGACCCTGTGAACCAAACGTTTTTCAGTCTGGAGCTTTGGGGACATCAAGGACATTCCACTGATGAGATAAAAGAAAAAAGTGCAACAAAGATTTTGATGAAAGGCTGCGCAAAACTGATTGTTGTTTGTGCCACATAACAGCCCTTCTGGTGCACCACATCTTTTGTAAAACATAGTTCCATGAAACAAATTATTATCTCCAGTAGCTTCCGTCTACACACATTTCTGAAATACTTTCATTCTGAACTGCTTTGAGAGGAAACATTAAAAAGAATGGAAACCTGGCAATTAATCAGATGGAAACCTTTGTTTCCATTTTGCAGAATAGGAAAAAAAGAAGAGAGAATTATAAAAATAATACCCAATATTAACTGCTAAGTAGGGAAATGAAAGATAAGCAGAGGCCAGGGACTGGGAGCACTGGTGTGCTGCATGCGTTTACCTGTGCTTGGATGTGGTTCTGAAGGGTGGGTCAGATCTGTGCTTGCTGTTCTCGTTCAAACCCACATAAACACCTAGTTAGAAACTGGGTTTTGACAGATGAAAATTCTATTTCCTTAAAAACTCACAAAATAAAAACCTTGAAAAGTTTTTTTCAAAGCATGGACAGAAGGCTCTTCTGGTCAAGACACAGAACAAATATTTACAGGTGCTGGGGAGACACCATTTCCTCCCTTTAGGCTTCAACCTGGTGTCTGCCACATGATTTTATCCATTCAATGGATTTTTTTTTCCAGACATCTGCCAAGAGGAAATAACTTCGCTGTATTGGGAGTCTGGGAATCCTAGAAAACAATCTTAAATCCATAAAATAATTGAAGTGCAGTTTTACTGAGCTGTTCAGTTCGATTCTGATTTTTACTACAATGTCAACAAGAGTTTAATTTGTTTTAAAGTTTAGGTTCTTAAATCTGAGTGATATACGGTAGTTTACAGCTTGCTGGCAACAGCTACTGTGGAAAAAAAAATGGAAAGTGCATATAAAGGCGGTTCTAACTTTGACATTGTGAAAGCAGGGAGCAGTGCCAAGAGCAGCAAACAGCATGGCTTTCCCAATTCTGGCTGGCTTTAGGGACTGCTTGCTATTGACATCAGTCGCTATGGGATACATTTCCCTGCTCTAACAAATCTCATCTGGAGCCTGTAATTAAAAAAGAAATGTCTCAAAGTGTAATTTCTTTTCCTAAAACATTTACAGATGTTAACTAGATTGCTAATAGCGTGAGGTGTCTGTGGGTGGACATCTTCCTCCTTATCTGCTGTGTCAAAGGGGACAATTGATTTACTAAAATCTGTCCTAAAGTTAGTAATTTTTCTGCATGCATATTTGTGTATGGGGGTGATGGTGTCTTCTTCTCTAAACTGCCAGCTGAATGAACTATTTGAAGGTGCTTTTATTTATAGTTTTTTACTTTCTTTTCTTTCAAAAGTCCTCTCCAAAGTTGATTTCAAAAGTACTCCGGGTGGCTAAAATGTCTTTGCTGAGCAGATTAAGAAGTATCCTGTCTGAGCTGTAAAATTATAATAAAAATAATAGTTGTTGTAATAAGAATAGTAACAGTAATAATAATAATAATAGTAATAATAATAGTGATGTAAGTTTCCTGCTCCAGTGACTTTCCACCAGTATCTTTGGCTGGTGCCCCTCAGTAAGTGCTGCTAAAAGTATTTACAGGAGCTGTTGGATGGCCAGGGAAGCTGATCTGCTTCAGGCACCCACCGGACATGCAAGGGGGAGAACATGCAAAAGGGATGAGAAACACATGTCCCTGGGGAGGCAAGAAGGGGTTTTCTTGGCTGTTGGAGAGGGTGGCAGCCCCAGCTCTGCCATGGAATGCTGCTCCCTGCCAAGCACTCCCCATGCCACATGGCCATGCAGAGCATCCCCCCGGTACCCTGCAGGAGGTGATGGCTGAAACTCTCCTTCCTGACACACGCAGCCCAGACGCAGTTGTCTGCTTGGGCCTTTCCCACTGCCAACTTCCCCCCCTCTCGCTTTTCATTTTCTCTTTTCAACCAGCTTTGATTGGAGCCAGAGCCTGGGGTAAATCAGAGGAATTTCTAGATTTTTCTGAGTGCTGTGAGCTCTCGCTGTTTTCCAATACCTACTTCCTGCCATATCTAAAATAACAGCAGCTGCAGGGGCCTGATAGAGAAGAGCTCCAGGGGAGAAATTCTCACAAATGGGGTGGGAACGAAAAAAAAAAAAAAAGAAAAAAAAAGACTTATTAGGGAGACGATAACACAGAGAGCCAGCATCAGATTCATTGTTGGAGTTGATAGCACCATAGGCTGTGGATGTTGTTGTCAGAAGCAAACAAATCCTGTAAAACGGCCATGGGAATGATAAGTCTTCATGTTTGCTGGGATAACAGAGGTAGTTTTACAGCACTTGTCCTATTGTATGGAGTATCATGCCTTGATTAGCTAATGTCTCTGAGGGCCAGATAAGTGAGGATGAATGTCCTGCCCTAGAAGCTTTCATGCTTTCTCTTGGGCATGGCTATCTATGGAGAGCTGCAACAGAAATCTTTGTACACATACAGAAGGTCCCCTCTTTAGAGAAAAACATCGCGGAAAATGGAAAATTGTTGAAATTACATTGTTTTCCATGGAGAATACATGGTGCAGTGTTGTCATTGTCTCATTACAGACCACATGACTGAGTACAGCCACTCAAGAGACTTCTAAAATGGTCCCACAAAGGAACCTTACATATTTGTATGAGAACTACTCCAGGAGAAGAATGTCTCTGTCCTACTGGCATAAAGGGGGACAGAAACAGACACGGCACACTCATACAAAATATACTTACACACCATTGAGTGTGCAAGAATACACAGAGATCTCCTTGAGATCCCTGGCAACCAACTCAAATATTGCTTTAAATATCAGCACATCCAAACAACCAAAGTGAGTGTGCTTGAAACACTGCCAGTCAGTGAAATACAGGCAACATTTCAGGTTATTGTATGTGCCATTAATCTTAACATATTAATGTATTTCTACAGTTACTCTGGGAGCTATAACTTGTGTCTGCATCAAGTTTTGGGTCCTGAAATTTTCACCCAATATTAGAGATTTTCATGCATTATTTCTTTTCAACATAGGACTTTTTAAAAGAGTATTAAGTGAAGGTTATAGCCATTTCGAATTGGAGCTTGATCCAAAAAATGCAGGAGACAATTGAAGAATTCCTACTCGCTTCAATGAGCTTTGCATCAAGTTCTTATTAAACACAGACATCTGCAAAGGTATCTACAAATACACAATGTACTGGTCTGATGGCTTGGCAGGAAAAAATACCAGTCACTGTACTGTAAACACTCTATTTTGTTCTTTACTCCCAAAATATCATTTGATACATTTTAATGTTGATATGCAGGAGAGGCAAGTAGATGTTTTCTCTTATTTTGCCTGAATTTTGAGGCATGCAAGACTTCCCTGAAGTCAGCAGACTTACTTCTGATTTCCACCACTCAAACAGGACAAGCACATTTCTGTGTTTACTTCAGCGTGTTGGTTTTACTGCATGTGCATGTGGGTACAGTGTGACCCTAGAGCCCTACCCACTTTCCAAGGAATAGTGGAAAACCATGCCCAGAGTTTTAGTGGCAGCACGTAGTTTTTCTTTTCTAGATTTTAAATCCTTTCTCTAGAACTAAAAACCTTTGCTTCACTTGAGTACACAGCACAGCTGCCAATTTTTAGTTGTTAAAACAAGATCATGTTAAAGTATTTGGTTCTTCCCTCCCTCAAAAGAGGCTCCTGAAGATATGAACCATATTTGGTTCAGGTAATTAAATAAACTGGCCAAGTTTAGACAGGCTAGACAATATTCTGGCAAAAAATCATAAAACTGAAACTAGCTAAACATTTTCATTTTTTTTTTAAAAAATCACCCTTGACAATACAAAAAGAGTGAATTTATATTCCTGTACAAGTAGAAGTAGTTAGAAAATATGAGGCATTGCCTAATCCTGTTTTAAGCACTGTTATGGCTGTGCTGCATTACGTATGCTTATAGAGCAGTACATTTATAGTAAACTGGGTAAGGAATTTGGGAGTAGGATTAACGAGCTTTCCTTCTACACTAGACTAGATCAGATCACAGTAGGAGATCAATCTGCAACAATTCCCGACTTTTGTTCAAGAAAAGAGAGCATAGTGAAGGTCAGAGACAGTCTAAAGAGCAGCATGGCAATTATTTACTGACATGAGACTGGAAAGAATATCACATGGAGCACAACTTGGACTTTAGACACGTAGGAAAGAATGGTTCATTTTATGCCACTAATCATAGCCAAGGATTAAGATATTTTGGAAAAGCCCTATTATTTCTCATTCTGCAAACCCGGATTTCATTACTGGTAAATCATGAAGTTTATGAAGTCCATTCATATAAATTAATTTCCTTTCCTGATTTCCATTGGCATGTGAGACACAGATATATAACAGAAATAAAAGTTTGCAAAGGAAAAGAAAAAGATACACAGAAGTGTCTGTTAGTACTTAAAAGCTAGGTAATCTCAAGTAAGGATGTAGCTAGAAGAATCGTCCCTACAGATAATACATTAATTCTTAAATAAATTGGTTTGGGGTCTGAACAGGTAGAAATCAGTGCAGGTGCACTACCATTAGATGGTTCTATGCTGACTTACTCCAGTTGCCTCTATCAAAAATACCCAAAGTTGAGTTCTCCCATTCGTAAGATTTTAATTTTGCAGCAGCAATGCAAAATCTAGATGTCTTTTCCATATTATGAGAAATATTCCCACCTACACATCTCAGCGAAGAATTCTTATAATCATTTTAGTGTCACAAGACGTGGGGCTTTCCCCCTTCACTGGTGCTTCCCCCCAATGAAAGCTTTTCATATGAAATGTAAATTCATCTTCAGACAACGTTCTGAACACAGATATTCTTCCAAAAATAGGCACAGGGAGGTGGTGGCCACATCCCTCAGGGGATCATGCACAACAGAAAGCATGATACAGCCTCATCTGGCGTCACAGGCATCTGCCAGCTCCTCCCTACAGCAGGTTCTGAACTGACAGCAGAGAAATCGTGCTGGTTGCTGCAGAAATCTAGATTTTATTATCAGAGAAACCATAAAAATAGACCTGAAACTTCAGGTATACATCTGGCTGACCTCTGGCTGGCCGACCAAACTTTTTTAGGGTCACAACTCACACCGTGAGATGCAGACAGCCCTGTGTCTTTCCCCCTTCCCCACTAAAATAAATGACAGTAGGTTTGCTGCAAATTTCAAAAGCAGATTTTTTCCCTGAATATTCATCTAACAACCAAAGAAAAGGTCCATCCATTTGTAGATTTCTTGGCAGGAAATCTGGCATCTCTATCAAAGTCTGCTCACTTTTCATACACTCCTCTGTGCTGAGTGCTTGAATCCAAAATATTCCTTATAATAATAAAGTCTACCCTACAGTTAGCTAATGGTACTGTTATGCAAGGGCAGGTCTTGGTTCCAGCAAAGTAGTTCATGGCAGCAGAAGGTGCTCTGGTTTAAGTTGGTGATGCTCCCCATGACAAAATTCAGTGGAAGGGAAGGGAAAGGATTAGAGAGGAGTTTTCTCTTTTACTTTAGGAGATGACTGTTTTTTCAGAAGTATCCAAGTGATTTCGGTCTGGAAACACTTAAAAATTTTTGATGAGACACCATTCAGTCCAGGTGCTTTTCCTAAGATAATATTAAATATAGCTTTGGAAAATTCAGCAGATGTTCTGATTTTTTCTAGTTCAAAATTTCTTTTGCTACTACTCTGCCTTTATGTAAATAGCTGACTCGAATTGATTCTTTAATACAGTGATTCATAATCTGTTGTGAATCTCCTTTTAATTTACTTGAGAGTCTGTTATTATTTTCCCTGATTTAACACATCCTGTTTTAGAACATCCATCGAAGTTGATGGAAAAAATTTTCATGGCACTTGGATCATATCCTAAATGTAACTTGAATGCCATCTTTCGAAAGTTGCAAAGTAAGGGGATTTCCTGTTTTATTCTTCAGTTGTATATCTTTGAAAGTGAGCTTTTACAAATCCTCAACTGCCTTGTCAAGGTCTGATCACTTCTATTCATACTAGCACTATTTTTTCTGGGTAGTTTCCAACTGGGGAAAAATCGATGGATGATATATTGTTATTTTTCTCATTTTTACTGAATGCCCTGTTACACCTTAAGTCTTAAAACTGAAACAAAAAATTCTCACTAAGTTCAGGTGATGGGCCTATATTTATTCAAAGACTACTTCCCACCCCCTAAATTTTCACCATAGTTCTGAGAGTTTTTTGGTCTCTCTATGGGAGCTTTCTCCACCCAGTAGCAGCTCTGAAGCCCTTTCCTTGCCCCTTAGAAAACCTGTCTGTAGAACACAGAAATAAGCCATGGGGTTATTTGAAGGTCCTGCCCTAGGGGAGCTGCCCACCAAACCACCTGCAGGCAATGCCTCCATCTCACTGCAGATCAACATAGACAGAAAGGCTCCTCTACCCTCTCTCCTTGGATCTATATAAGTTTAAGGAGCACAATGCTCATTTCATCATCTCCTCTCATTTTTCTCCATACTTAAATTATTTTGGGGCAAAGTGAGGTATTCTTTAGACACTTTTCCACAGCAGTCAAATCCTGGGCTCTTACTACTCATTCTACTCATTTGTACCATTTCACTTTTAGACAAACTCCTCTCTCTCACACCTACACTCATCCTTTCCCCTCTTCTTCCAGAATTCATCTATGCTTTTTTTTACATTTCTTTTTTTTTTTTTTTTTTTTTTTTAATGGGGATGTTATATTTAACCCTCCTTTCATTTCTCTTTTTCTCAGGCCTTCTTTCACTCTGATTACGCCATCAGGTAGTTTCACAGCCATACTCGAAGTCTGAAACTTTAAGATGCTTGCTGACTGTTCTACAGCTTCATGAGACAGCTTCTATTTTATTTTCTTTACTAAGTTTCCCAAATAGAGTAAATGTATAAACACACATGTACTTGTTTGTACTTGTCACAAAGGGCCCCATTCCCCCCCATCCCTTCCAATGTGCTGAATCCTTTGCAGCCCATGCAGATCCCCAGTTTTGGCTGGGGGTCCTGGAGTCTTGTAGCACAGCTCTGCCTCTGCCAGCAAGCACACACCAATTAAGCTGAGGGCTGCAGCTATCTCTGGAATTGTGAGTTGGCTGCTAAAATAGCACCAAGAAGCTGCTTTCACATTAGCAAGTCCTTCTGGCAAACCTTTCCTTGACTTCAGCACTGCTGGTTCCTCTTTAAGATTTTAATTTATCATTGAAATGGCATGAAATATCTGGGATATCAGATTGCAAAATGGTAAGTCTGAAACCTCTAACCCCAGAGGCCATGGTCACCTTTATCTCTACAACTCTGACTACGTGCTGAACAGGGCAGAAATCAGGAGTTTGTCTGGTAACAATGGAGGTTTGCAGGTTCCTACCAAGTGGTGACAGCTCATCCAACTGTGCATCTGTGGTTTAAATAGATGGTAGTGTCTTTTCTGGCCTGTAAAGGTCCAGCACAGGTTTCCAGAAATAGTGGGAGAATTCCTGGAAAGTTTTCTGAAGCAGCCATTGCCCCTGGGTTTGTCTGCTGATGCAAAAAGCATAGTCTTCTCTCTATGGCTGATGGCAATTTCAGCCCTAGAATCATCTTTGCTTCTTTTTCTTTTGAAATGAGGTCTTTCCTCTTCCTAACATACTCTCTGTGGGGAAGAAAAAACCAAGAAAAAATGCCTGAGAACTCCTTTAAAGTTACCCAGGAGCTCAAGGTCAGGAATAGAACAGCCATCTCCATTTCTGGTGGCCCTTCCAGAGAGATCTTGTGCAGTGTCTGGCTGAGGCACGACTTGGCAAAACTTGGACTCATTACAACGCTCTGCAAAATCGGAATGTGCGTGGCATCAATTCTAGCAGGATTGAATTAAGTTCAGGAAGCTCTAACCTTTGACTCCTGGGGCCCACGGTGTGTCGTGCAGTGGTTATCAGCTAATGAGTCAGGGAAGTTTCTCAGAACAAAGAAAACAAAGAGTGTAATTGAAAAAGAAAAAACAAAAAAACCAGAACCAGTTTCTCTTTTTATACGGCAATTTCATACAAAGTCATGTTAGATTGAGAAGAACATTTGAACCTCCCAGTACTACTGACCCAAAGACATTACTATGAGAAGAAGACGCCTGGAGAAGTTGTTAATGCCTCGTGCAGATGGTCTGAGGGAAAAGGCCTCAAGCCAATAGCTGAGTGCAAGGGTAGCCTGGAGCTGGGTGGAACCCAGTCATCACAGAGGAAAGACATAAGTCAACTAAAAGCAAAGAGATTACTTCAGTCTTCCAAAAGAATAACTGGATAGCAAAAGCTCAGATGCCAGCACTAGTGACAATCACAGCTCGGAGGTGAGCAGCAGTACGGAGCTGCAATGCCTCAGGAACTGACTGTGCACAGTAGAACCTCCAAGGGATGGGCTTCACCACCTGACCTCGTGTTTCTAAAAGGCTTTACTCAACAGGCACCTGCAGGATTTTCAGAAAAGTCAGTCATGAGTACAAGAGACTTAGATGACTCTCGCCCACCACAACTACAAAGCTGTAAAAGAATTTGAACACAAAGTCTTATAGATTATTTCAGACGCTTTATCTGTGTATGGATTTGCATATGCTGGACAGAAATAAAGGTTAAAATAAATATTCTTCAGTTTGTTATTTTTGGAGGCTTCTCTTATGACCCAAAATAGCATTTTTCTACTTCTTAAGTAATCTGCAGAAGATTTTGCTTATGAGGTGGTGCTGAAACACATAGTTTCCCTGAAGCACTAGAAAAGGAACTGACTGCTGCTCCCAGGATATCAAAATGGATTCATAATATCTACAGCAATACCTATTCTGCAACCCCAAAGGTATCACAAGAGTTATGAAACGGAACAGATCTTCATAGATCTCCCACAGAAATCTAACATCAAAAGCAATCCGGACAGTAGAGACATGAAGAGTAAAATCTTGTATTCTGCATTCTCTGCAGCAGTACGGCTGCAGAAGAATCAAAATTTAGTAGAGAGATCATGTTTTAGTTGTGCAAAGGAAAGGCAAGTGAGGAACATTCACGTGTTTACTTGATGCTTAGATAATGCATCTATAACTACGCTATAACTGTGTAAGAATCAAAGAATTAATCCACTAATTATGGATTTGGATAGCCTGTAGCATTGCTTTTTCAAGACTGTTCCAGTGCTCATACTGCAATTTATGTGTTCAAGAACAATACAGTTTGGGAGTTTTGACACACTTGCAGCACGATCTCACTCAGCTTTCTGCTATTTGTCTTGCAGTAGGTTTCACAGTGTGCAAAATATAGAAGACTTAAAAGTGAAGCCTATAAAGGAGATAGAGTGCTGGTCCAGCTCCCTGGTTTGCTGTCAAACCCAGCCAGGCTGGCCAGCGAGGAACAGGACTGCAGTTTTCCTACTGCATTTCTTACTCACCGATTGTTCCCAGGTATTTTCAGTGCCCAAGCTTTGCAGACTTCCTCAGTGACAGAGGAGGAGGGGAACATTTTGAGGGTCTGCTTTTTTTCATAAGCTTCCTCCCAGCCTGGTGATAAGCCCGCTGTGGAAGCCTGTGCCCCTCTTGGTTGCAATCAGCATCAGCTCCTCAGAGAGGAGGAAAGACCCGGAGCCAGGTTATCGAGCAGCCTGCTCTCTGCAGCCGTGGTCAAGCCACTATCAGGCCCCTGGCCCAGCCCCTGGCTGTCCAGCAGACACAGATGAAACAATGAGCGGTGCCGTGAAGAAATCTGCTTGGAAAAACTCCCTCTCTGCCTGTCTATCAGGGAGCAGGCTTCCATGAATGCAGCCATTATGTGTGCTTTAACTACCAGCCACGCGCTTGGTCCTGTTCCCAAAGAACCCAAAGGGAACGGTGTTATTGACTTAAGTGGGAGCAGAGGCAGGCCCTCCACAGCTTGGGGATCCAGCAGCTTGCCAGAGCCTCTCCAGGAGCGCTGTACGTCAAGTTGGGAAGGCTGCTCCCCCTGACACGGATGTGTTTGCTGGGCTGAGCTGCCAGCCCGGCTCTGCGGAGGTGCCTGTGCCTTGTTCTGCTCCCTCGAGAAGAGGGGCCGGCCACCACAACTTCCCCACAAATGTTTTGACAGAAGGGGCTCAGGACACCAGAGCACGGAGGCCAAAGCACGAGGCCACACCTGAGCAGCTAATACTGCTCAGCTCAGCAGAAACGACTCAAACAAATAACATATTCCTAAAATAATTTGCATCGGAACAAAGCTTTCTCACGAAGCTTGTGCTTCTGCAAGCCATGTATTTTCCTTGGCACTGCTCCAGGCTTAAAAGCAGATGTAAATGTTACCAAGGCTCAGATACAGCAACTTCTTCTCTGCCGACTGCCAGGGAAAGCTTACAGAAAATAACCAACAAAAGCTTTATTTACCATTTGAAACGGTAACACCAACAGCCATTGATACAGAAATGTAATAATGAACCGGGCACGGGAGAAGTGACTTCTTCCAAGCTGCTCCCAGCTGGAAGGAGAGGGAGCAATGCAGCTTCAGACAAACGCTTAATAGCTCCAAGTGTTAACATGAAGGTAAGTATGCAGATGCACATCAACTAAAGGTTGCTTTTTCAACACTGCTTTCTGCAGCTTTCCTGCAGCTTTCCAGGAGGCTTGGTCAGCCTCCTGCTCCCTCCACTATTGTCTAGCATCACTGAATGGGGCTGGAGCCCCTAAGGACTTCTCCAAAGGGACTGGACACTTTCTTGAAAGCCTGAGACTCAAGGACCTCCCTGGAAATGTAAGTGCTGACTTTGAAAGAAAGCAAAGTTCCCTACTATACTTCCCTACTATATTTCACAGCATACCACAGCTAAGAGGTAGGCAGGTCTGCTCTGCACACCTGGGGCCGCAGAAAACCAGGAAAGACACCTAGTCTGGTCATCTGTGCTCCTGGGGGCTTTCTTTTGGCAGGCCTCCTGGGAGACCCAATTCATCAAACCTGCTAGAAACAGCAAAACGCATTCCTGTGGGTGTGTGGTTTCGTGTAACAGGATCCCCCTCCAACCCAGACGTGCAAGCCCAACGAAGGTCTGACTGAATGCATTACTTCAGCCCTCCCTTACTCATCGCCTACAGCCCAAGCCCCAAATGTTAACGACTCAGCATGTTTTATCACAGTAGCATGTACACTTTCAATCATCATTAGAGATGAGGAGGGTCTAGGCTCAGGCACCACGCCAGGTTAAGTAAAACTTTCCATGAGGAAAGCTATTTGTTTTCTCCCAGAGCTGCGAGGCTTGGCCAAGAGGGAGGAAGGGAAAAGCTCACCCAAGCCAAAAGTGTAGACAGTGTTACTGGACTTTGCAGACTACCTGCATGTTGTTCTAATGACATTTGGACTACTGGAAATCACTGGGTGAACTCAGGAGTTTTCAAAGGCATAATTGTGGCAGAAGCAGACTAAACTTAACGCCTCAAAAGCCAATTGCTTTAATCATGAAGTTGAGATGTATGGAAAAGGATACATTTCAGCGAAAGAATAATTCTGTCTGCTATGGTTCCTGTTCAAATAAACTATATCACCAAACCACGTGCATTTCCAGAATATAGAGGAGAAAAAAAAGAACATATGGTTTAGACGCAGAAAACTTTCATATATACTGTATAGGAGATATATGGACTTGTCAGACATCTAACGGTTCAACACTGTAAGCAATTCATGGGAATGACATTAGCAATAGCTCATATTACATCCAGGAGTTACAGCTTTTACTGCAAAAGTTATATTTAAAAGAGCTATGTTTAAAATGAAATGGCTGGCAGGAGTGCAGCTTTTAGTAACACTTTACCTGTGGTTTTGCCACTTTTACATACTTATTGGGGGCTTAATACTCCCAATTTACCCTTTCAGAGTAAAATACAAGTCGCAATGAGTGCATTCATAGGCATGGTGCTATAAAACTCACAGCTGTGCAAAGACAATCACAGGAACAAAAGCCTCCTTGTTTTAAAAAAGATGATTATGTGGTTCTGATACTTTCTGCTAGCCACAGATCCAAACATCAGATACCTTTGTTTATGGCCTGTGTATTTTCATCTTACTATGAAAAGATTTATAGATCTGATCAAGTCAAGATCAGGATAGAGACTTTTATGAAAGCATTCATGTGGAGAGGAGGAGGCTGAATTAATATACAAAACTTCAGACAGGAGATCTGTCTTTCAGATACTGTTATTTCGGTTCTGGCTCCTACACAGGACTCAGGACATCCTGGTCAACATTTTTTTCAACAGTATGTGGAACTCTGGCCTCATGGCCAGCAATGGGAGTGTGCTCCTGATTTCAAGAAGGCTGCCACTGCATCTCAAAAGTTGAGATTAGAAGCCAGGCCTTCAGTATTCAAGCACTGGGTAATCAAGTACCTCGATTAAAGAATCCTCCAGGATGCTGCTTTGCTTTCAATTAAAAACTGCTTTTGTAAAGTTTTGAGCATTAATATAACAGATGGGATTACAGAGTGTACAATACACCTTGAAATCTGCTGAGAATATAAGTCATACACTTTTTTCTGCTGGTACCAATGTGTTTCCCTCTCGCTTTTTCAAAATAGCTTCATTTTCATCTGTAATGAAAACTACATTCTTTAATGTTTCTAACAGCAGGAAATAATTTCACAAATGAGTGTCATTCTGCTGCAGGTAAAATATCTAATAGCTTGTGGGAGTGCCAGTTACAACCTGAAAAATATTTCTTGGCATCATCCATCCTGGTGAAATGAAAGAGTTGGAGCTCAGTTCTGTGTTCCACACAGGCTACACTAAGTCCAGGAAAGGGAAATGGGGATGAGGAAGGTGATTTCAAGTCACCTACAGCATCT